ACGCTCACCTACTTGCGGTAGACGCCGTTTTAGGACGATGTAAGAACGCTTTCATACAACGCGGTGTCTGTAAGGTATGCGAGTCGTATATACGCGATAGTGAGACTGCCGACAACAGCCAATTCACAGGAACTTGAGGTCAAGGAAAGCCAATGGGGCCGTGGACTATTTGCTGCAGAAACAATTAAGAAAGGCGAATTCATCTCAGGTCTGCTCGCATCATGCTCTTTCACCGCCAATCTAACATTGATGGCGGCGTAGAATACGTTGGCGAATTGATCTACGATGCTACCGTCGATTCCCGAAGGTATCCAGGTTTCCCATTCTCTCTCCCACCTCTTGTCTTCTAATGTGATTACAGCGAACTTGCGAACCATCGAAGAAGGAGCTACGTCTTCCGACTCAATAGTGAAGTGTCCATTGATAGCTCCTATATCTGCAATGAAACGCGGTACATGAATCATAGCAAGGAGGATGCGAACTGCATCCCAGAAGGTGCGTTACTGATGTGCTTGGTTGAAGAATTGACATGAGATGAACTTGGTCATTAGTCAAGCTCGTTAACGGGGAGCATAGGATTTCGTTTCATGCTCGTGAGTTGAAATCTGCTTCCAGTCCATTGTAAGACGAGCTTACATTCTGCAGTTAGGACTATCGCATTGGGGGAAGAGCTTTTGTTTAATTACGGAGACGAGTTCTGGTAGGCTTTCGGGTCGCATGTGGTATCAATGTGGAAATGCAACAACTGATTTCTCTGTGATTAATGAGTCTTAGCCCCCGCGGTGATTGAGACGCGCAGGGCTTTCAAACATGGAATTGTTTTGATGTGTTGTCGAAATCACTAACCACACAGACTCTCAATCTTGTTTTACATTGGCCAACCTAACGCTTCCATTATGGTCCCCATCATTAACGGTGTCGATATCGAAGGTTTCTCTGGGCCTACTATACGCCCCATTCCCGAAGACTACGTCTGCAAGTTCCGTGGTATCCCAAACACGGAAGCGCGCCTACCTCACTCGTCTATGCAGCGCGCCGTCTTCGGCGATGGACCCTTCGAGTTCAGGTGTATTGATCCCTCTACTGTGGATCAACCACTTGGACCGCTAGAGACCGCCCCAGGCGTACTGGCACCCACCGCTGCAGCTCGACCAGCGGCGAAGCCTTCGGCATACCCTCCAGCAGAACCTTGGGAACACTTTCTTTACCGTGCCTTTCGCAAGGAGTCGATGGGCTGCTCGCACCCCTTCGACACCTCTGATTTCCCTCCCGATTACTCACCGCGATCTGTTGAGAGTGTTCCGCCGCGCCTGAGGACTGCGCCGTCGGAAATCTCAGTGGCTACTGCTTGTCCAACTGCCGCCGATGCGTCAAGCATTGCGCCTACGACAGTGGAGGAGGATATCCGTTTCTCCGCGATCCCGATCGCTCCGGTATCTCGCCCGCAGAGAAGGTGTCCGACCGCTATCGAAGCTCGCTGTGTCGCTCATTCTTCAGCGAAAACAGTACAGGCGACAGAATCAGCACAACTTTTGGGGAGTATCAGTGGGCCAATACGTCCAAGACGAAATGCTCGTGGCAAGTCAGTCATTCTTCTTAACTGATCCTCCTGTGTGTTAACTTGCGAAGATTTCAAGGTTTACCGATACTCTTGGAAGACTAAATGGCGTTACTACTGGGAATTATCCTTCGGAGCCCCTTTCAATTTCACGGTCTCTATTGTCTTCTCAACAACGTCCATTTTCGGAGCTCAAAGTTGAAGCATGTATTCAAATATTCAGCATCTATCGTAACTGCTTATGAAGTTGCGACTTCAACGAATATCGCCCTTGATGGAACGAGTAACAACGAACAGATGAGTTGTGTTACTAACCTTTACAGCATTTGCTCCCACGCTCGTAACGAAGTAGGATCTGGCGCAGTCAGGGTACAAATTTTAGTAGTCTTGGAGGCCTAACCGGGAAACCGTCATACAAAGCTAACCCACCCCCGAGGTATACAGATATTATTCGAAGCTTTCACTGAGAAGAACAGACAGCCTACAATGATTGAAAGAGAAATTTTGACTCGGACGCACAAATGTCGATCACTGGCTATCGCAGCTCCGTGGAGACTTTCTCGTTAACTCCGTTGCACCGGGAGTTGGCCAAGCCTCACCTCAACCTCAGTATCTATATCTAGAAAGCAATGGAAAGCGGTGCGGATAGGCCGACCTTTGCGGTAACTTGGTACGGCGCTCTATTATCGCCAGGACACAACGACCAACGCTGTCTCAGCACACTAGCTAGCAGATTCAGAACAGAAGTAGCTGCGCATTTTCAGCACAACGAAAACGCCCGATATCGAGGGAAGCCCTGAAACATGTTGTCAGGACAAGCAAAGTCGCCGCCATGTTCGCGTGTACGCACTGGTTCTCGCTCGGCGAGTCCATTGGAAGTGGCGCATGTGGTAGGCTGTGGACGTCTGGGAAACGCGTCAATATGAAAGGTCTACATCATATTGACTGCTCTTTAACGGTAATTGGGGGAATGATTATTCAAGTATGCAGTTGGGCAAACAAGACCTTGAAGCGACTGCTTTTGGGTGTATCAGGCGAGGGTTTGTTGAATAGTCTTTGGCCAGTGGAACCAGTACGTTCTCAGGTTGAGTGATTAGGTCGACGCTAGGTACATATATATCCATCAGAGGCAATATTCAATGTATGCGTCAAGACAGCCTGCACCATGCCACCAGCTAGATGACTTTCGTGGACGCGGCGATGAATTAAAGCATGTTCCGCGGACCAGGTGTACTGCATCAACTACCTCCGACTTGAATTTTTTTTACGCAGAAGCTCTCTCAATAGGCACTCCACGACAATCTCTGGTCGTCGCGCTAGCTTCCTTTCGTCGCTCTCACGAGTACTATTTTACGAGAAGGTCCGTTTCTGAAACCATTTGTCGCTCGTCCACCGGCGATACTGGCAGATCACTGTGGACCAAGTTCTGAGTCTTACCGGCGGCATCGTCTCACCGGTTTATAAATGAGACGCACAGGATTAATGTCTGGTCTAGCACCTCGCCCTCGAACACATCTCCTCCTATGACGAATAGACACTGCTCTAGGACTGCTATATAAACCTAATCGCGAAGCTGAGTTAATCAAATTCACCCATTCTCACAACTTTACAAGTTTAACTGCTCAACTCCTATTTGCAATGGTTCTCATCATCAACGGTGTCGATGTTGAAGACTCCTCCCCACCTCCCATCGGGCCCATTCCCGCCCACTACGGCCCCCTACTCCGCGGCATCCCCAACACCGAACCGCGCGCACCTCACTCATACATGCAGCGCTCCGTATTCGGGGATGACCCCTTCGAATTCCGGACTATCGATCCCTGCACCGTCGAGCAGCCCATTGGGCCTCTAGAGACCGCCCCAGGGGTATTGGCATCCACAGCCATTGGTCGCGCAGCCCCCAAGCCTTCATCTCAACCTGTCGCAGATTCCTGGGACCACTTCCTCTACTGCCTTTCGACGGATAAGAACTTCGGCGTGCGCCGCTTCCAAATCAGCGATTTCCCTCCCGACTATCCACCGCGGTCTGTCGAACCTGATTACTCACATCTCTTGTCGAAGAGAGATTCAGTGGAGACTGTGCACCCACAGTCGAAATCTACGGCTGAAGATCCTGTCGCTAGTGATGCGCCACCTTCGACAGTGAAGGAGCTATCTTCCGCCGCTATCCCGATGGCGCCGGCATCCAGGCGGCGCTCGAGCGTCGTTGAAGTTTGCGCTGCACGTCAGTCCTCAGAGAAAGTCGCTCAGGCGACGAAATTTGCCCGGCTTTTGGGTAGCATCAGTGGACCAATACGAAACAAGCGAACTGTTCGTGGCAGGCATGAGTTCATTTTCACTGGGTCGTCTACCTGTTACTCACCATAAAATGCAGGTTCGCTGATACACTTCGAAGATTTAGAGGTTTTGCCACTGGCAAATATCCTTCAGAGCGGCTTTCCATTTCGCAGTATTGAAAAGAATGAGCACTCTGCTTGCTTGGACAAATCTTGGACCTTATTTATATACCCACGCATATGTATTACTTCAGCGCGGAGATGATCGCCATGATAATGCGAAGTTTCAAAAATTCAAATTAAGTACACTGACCTGTAATGACTGAAACATGGCAATTTTGGTGGCGGATTCTAGCGCAGTGACCACATCCCAGTGAAACTGTTCTTCCATCAGGTCTGATTATGCTTTCGTTCGCAGGACACAAATAAATTAAATTTTCCTTCTTCAAAAACATGATCCACAGAAGTGTATCAGCAGTCCAACGGCCTAGCCACCCTGCCCCGGGCCAGCGAATGCCGCCGTACCTCCATCCTTGGCATACCACAGGTTGCGATACACTCCCTTCTGGTCGGGTTTAGCCGCATTCTCGAGAACCTTGTCCGCCAGGCGCCTGCAGCTTGACAAAGTCACTATACTTCGTACCGTCATCGCGAGAGTTATTGCCATCGGGAACCACACCCTACTTCTGGCAGGAAAGGAGAAGGGAGGGAACAGCACACACAAGTACTCTAAGGCGAGTGGCGCAGTTAATGTAGTTGTTACACTTACCCACTTCTCAACAACGTCCATTTTCGGAGCTCGAGGTTGAAGCATGTGTTCAAATATTCAGCATCTACTGTAACTGCTTATGAAGTCGCAACTTCTACTCCCCAGGATGGAATGAGTAACAGAGTAACAGAGGACTCTAGTGTTACTAACCTTTACATCATTCACTTCACTGGATACTTCCATGTTCGTAACGGCAACGTAGTCAACGGGTCAGGATGTAATGATCATATGTATAGCTGTGGCGCAGTTAGGGTACAAATCTTCATCTTTAGGGCCCAACCCGGAAACCGTCATACAAAGCTAACCGTTGTCACAGCCGCGGTATATAGACCAGGGTCCAGCGTACTTATTCTCTCCAAACCAATCGTAAAAGTAAGTACCTGGGACTTAACGTTGAACACCGATGGTGAAGCGGTTATCATGCTTGCCTTCCATTAATATCAGCAAGCGGCAGGGGTTCGACTCCCCTTCGGTGTACTGACGTGTGGCTCCTCTTGACTTAGCTTTTTTAGGATTCGGATGGCGACCACGACAGTTGTGCTTGCATTGACGCCACCTATCATGATACATCATACTATTTTAAATGTTTTTCCCGGAAACCCGTCGTTTTGAGCAATAGTTTCGATGACACGTGATGTGGCGTAGCGGGAAGGCGCTGCTGTCCCGCGGTGTCTATTGTTCAAAGCCGTAAGTACTGAAGAATAGGGAAAACTTCTGGCATATGTATACGTCGTACACAGTACAATAATGTCACCCCTCAGCAGTGGTTACGAATTCTGACCGTTGGTAGTACTCATCACCCTCACTGAATATCAAGTCATCATTGCCTTATAAATCGATAACAGATTAATCAACGTACAAGTAGCTACTCCAGTTCATATCTCTATGTCTCTCGAAGGAAGCAGTGGCGGTAATATCACCAACGAAGTGGTGAGAGCAGCGTCAGAATTAGGTACACGGACATTCCGATCGGCTACTGCCTCTGCGAAAGGCGGTGGAGGCAAAAATAGCTCGTGTGTTGGACTCGGCGGTGGAGTGGAAGGAGGCACGTCCGCGTAAGTTAGATGTGATCCGGATGCATGAGCTATGTTGGAGCTGGAAGGGGAGGAAGGCGTATAGGGAGGCGGCGAGGTCGGGACGACCGTTCCGGGGAAGTAGCGAGGAACAAATGGAGCTGGCCCAATCATTCTTCTAGGCTCTGCTTCTGCTTCTGCTCTTTCGCGTCGCGCGGCCCGACGTCTTCTTGTGCATATGCTGATGAAGATGCCAAGGGCGAGAATACCGAGAACACCTACACTGCCTCCCACAGCTCCCGCGAACGTCGCAATCTTCTTGGAACTGGGAGGAGCGGACGACAAACATGGACCGTGCGAGGATATCGCTCCGCAGCTATGTGGGGAGGACGTGGGTGAAGACGTGGCAGAGGTGGATTTATGTGAGATTGAACGCTGTGGGATTGCACTCGCCGAGGTGGAGCTCTGGATGTCATCTAGAGCACTCTGCGTGTATACCGCATAGTCGAATAGAAACGCAGAGTTCACCCCGAGTTTGATCGTCAATGTATGCAGAGACAGTGGCAGGTTTACCCGAGAGAAAACCGCAAAGTTTGAGCTCGGGGCTTGCTGCGACAGATCGCGAGTAAACTGGTTCCTGTCTTGTCTCTCCGCGTCCAGAATGAAGGATAGATTCACTGTGGTGGACGCCGCCCCCCCAAGCACGTCGCCGTTGAATCCAAAGATGTGTACTCCAGTACCTGTCGCGGGATATAGTCAGCGTTGTGAATATTATCAGAAATACGTACCGTTGAAGCTCAATTGGATCGTAGGCTCCTCTATAGGCGTGTCGTCGTCGTCGTCAGAGTCAGAGTCAGAGTCTTTCGCTCGACGTTTAAAACTTCGCCGCTTCCGACCCTTACCAGGCCCGCCTTTCCCTCTTCCTCTCCCGCCACCACCACCGTCATCATCATCATCATCACCGGGAGAGAACGACGCGCTATGGTAAGTGCCCTTAAAGGCGGTACCACCAGCGCAAGCCGTGCACGAAAGCCAAGCATTTGTTGGATCATAAAGCACGGACGAGTCTGCGTCGTCTATCGTTAAATTGACCTCCCTGGCCGCGCTCGATAGAGAAAGCCATCCAAGGGTCCCCAGACAGAACGCGTGAAGACATCGATGTCTAGCGTCGAATTATCGTTCATAATTGACCACGATAACGGTTATGAAAGACCTACTTCATAAGAGTAGTAGCACGCAAAGGGGCCTGGGGCTAGAACGACGTCCGATTGCGACAGGCCCACCCTGGGGAGTTTATGAGAAGATTTAAGCGGCCGACCTATCAGATGACATCGCCGACCACTTCTCTGGTGTGTACGGCAAATCTTTCGCATGAGCCTCGGAACACAAACACTGGTAAGTAACCGATACTTTCATGGGAAAGTTTCTCCGGGTAAACAGACCAAGAAATCCATTGACGCGTAGAGAGCAGAGAGGGGCTTGAACGTGACGGCCTTCAAAGCGTCAACAGCAGGGACTAGCGGAGATGACGGTCCTAAAGCAAAGAAATGCTTTGCTTCCGCGATCATCGGGGCTAATAGAATGCCTTCCTTCAACGGTTCGGTAACGCAGATACTCCATAGCTTGAGTATATCACAGGTGGACAGCGAGGGCCACATGAACATTCGTGAACGAGCTCGAGCGCGCGTGGCTTGGAATATGTTGGTGCCCTTGTGTACTGGCTTGGCCGACCAAATTTAGCATGGGCGAAGCGAAACTTCAATTATAGGCTGAAGTGAGCTCATAGTACGTCCTAAACATGGACTTTGTCCGCAAATCCCCTTCGCCGACCACTCGATGTACGTGCAGGATCAAACGTGGGTAACGGTCTGTAAAATTAAGCCAGATACCCTCTGGCAAGGACCCAAGATGTCGTTTCACGTTCTCCGGTAGGTCCTGATAATGGTGTTTCTGAGAACGAACCCAATATAAGAATGCGCCATGCAGCACAGAGATAGGACAGTACGTACCTTGATCCTCAGTGCCCGTAATAGATCCTTCACGGACTTGGCGTCGTACTTTCTGAAGACGCCCAGGTTCTCGTTGAACCCCGCCCAGCCGCGCACGCCAACCATCGCCCACCACACCCCAGGCGCTTCAAATTCGTTCCAATATTTCAAGGATTGGATTCCGAGGACCACGATACATAACTTCAAAACGGACGCTTCGAACCGTTTTGAAGTTCAGCCGCTCCCAGAAGAACGGATGCACCGTCGTATCCGGTCTATTAGGGAGGCACCATTAACATTGGGTGTGAACCTAGAGGAAACGAGATAACGTACCTGGAAAGGGGTTCAGCTCGGAGCATCTGCTCTATGAGAACCGCTGATTCATGCCGCTCCGCACCAGCGAGTGCATCCAACGCCTGTAGGCTCTTTTCGTTCCTCGAGACGCGTGAGAGCGTGTCCGACCCATATGGATGTCCTCCATTGGACAACACGTAGTAGAATAAACGTTCAAGGGCGAAGATGTCGGCTGCCATCTCGTCAAGCTTCACCTCGTCACGCACAAATTCCGGTGCGCGCTAACCCAAGACCTCCCTCTGACCACCAGACGACTTGTCATATATACTGTAATCCGATATGAGCATCTCGCCCTTGTTCGAAATCAAGATATCTGTGGCCTGATATTCCGATGAACGATGTTCAGCGCATGAAGATGTCGTAGCCCGCTCGTGGTCGCTCGCAGGGCCTTGTTGTATTGAAAAACCGTTACTAGCGACATCGCGCTATTGATCTTGTTTGGGCGACTCGATTTTCCTGAACAACGCTCAGCTCTCGAGGAGCGAGTGCAACCAAGTCTCGAAGCCGCGACAGAGTGATCCCTTGAATTACATGAGATCCGGAACCTGGCGAAAAGGTTCAATCCCACCGGAACGCCACCCATGGTAGAGATAGCCATTAGACCTAAGATTGAGTCTGCAATAACCAAGGGCGTCACAGGACCAGACGGGGACTCCGTCAAGGAGCTCGCTGCAAGGATTACAAACTCCTCCTCGTCATTGGTATCCGCTTCCCAGCCACCCTAGGGCCTAGCGACATGAGGTGTGAAGCCATCTATCTCAAGCTTAAGCGTGTTAGTCATGATCAGTTAAACGAACGTACCTCATAGTAGAGAAAGGGCTAGAGCAGCGCATTTTATCTAGTTAATGACAGCGACAAACATTCCAAGATCTGTAACATCAAGGGGGCCAGCAAGATGACAGACGACCAATTCACTTCCTGAGCGACAACTGCATCAAGACGATCATGGTAGTCCTAAAGAAAAAAAAATCAAAGATGCTTACCACCTTCACCGCGCGCGCTTCCATTCCTCCCCCAGACACCTCAACGAATAAAACACAGTTAAAAGTTACACGAGTATACAGGGGATGAATAAGTATTGCGGTTATATGTAATATATGTGATCCATGCCAGCCATAAAAAACACGAAAGCAAAAAAAGCACACACACAATCAATCAGCGAGCTCATAGTATGTCCTAAACATCGACTCTGTCCGTAAACTCGTCTCGCCTACCACACGGTGTACGTGTAAAACTAGACGCGGAAATCGCCTCGTAAAGTAGGACAGATATCCATCGGGCATCGAACCGAGATGTCGCTTCACATTGTCCGGCAGGTCCTGGTAATGATGTTTCTAGGCGCGAAAACCATAAGCATCGCAAAAAGAGACAAAACGGGGAAAACACACCTTATTCCGGAGAGCCCGCAACAGATCCTGCACCGACTTGCCATCGTACTTCCTGAACTTGCCCAAGTTCTCAAGGAATATTTTGTCCAGCCGCGATTGCCAGTCGTTTCCCACGACGCTAGCAGCGTCTTTTTCTAAAGCTACAAGGTCGAGATCCCGAGGATCCCGACACATGACCTCGAAGCGGTCTGAAGCGTCTTGCAGGAAGTTTAACCGTCGGCCAGGATCCCAGAAGAACGGATGCACTAAACACGTTGTCGTGTCCGGTCTGTGAAGACACATGAGCATCCACCGACGACAGAGCAAATATGAAAAACCAACCTGGAGTACGCCTCTGGATTAAGCATACGCTCTATCAAATGCGCCGCCTCAGATCCCTCTTCTCCAAACCTCTCCAGCACCTCCAAATTCTTCTCGTTTTTCAGAATATTCATCTCCCGCGAATATCGATCACCAAACGGATGACTGCCGTTCGAAAGCACATAATAGAACAAACACCCCATCGCAAAGATGTCCACCGACTTGGTCAGACGCGTTGGCGACGCCGAACCGGTCGGCGACCCAGTAACCGTACCCGTGCTCCCCTTGGATGAACCCAGAGAGTTGTCGTCCGAAATCTCATCAAGCTTCACCTCGCCACGCAAGATCTCCGGCGCGCGCCAACCCACTGTCCCTGCAGCCATCGCCCCATGCGCCGTCGGCAAGAAACTCGTCTGGTCAACATCCAGCTTCTT